CTGCAAATTGCACAGCAAGATCTTTTCGCCCGCCACATTGGCCCAGAGCAACTTGCATGGAAAGCAGCTGCAAAAGCCGCCTTTGCTGCTGGCCGATGCGCGCCGCGGCCGGCGTTTTGGAAAACGACGCCGCGGCACCGCCTGTACTGTACAGAAGTGCACAAGGCTTGGAACGACTTCGTTGGCAACAGTGCTGGTATATCCAGCAGTGCTGGCCTCCAGTAACGTCTGGAAGATCTCGGTTTGAGCCGCCCGTGCCTGATGTGTCTGTACAAGCTCAGGCTCTCCTCGAGTATTAAGTTGGGCCATATCGAAATCCGCAGCTGAGATGTGGGCAAAGGCATCCGGCAAACTCCCTTGCCACAGATGGCTGCAACAGTAACCTTCTGATATAATTATCCCTCCAACCTACCAACCGAGTCGGCAACCGTTCTGGCAAGTGGGCGCTGCTGAGGCAGCATGAGGCTCAGCCTGTTCTGTGGGGAAAGCGAAGTGGGCATACAGCGCTTGGCACAGTTGCCTTCAGCTGACGGGCAATGCCGAGGCAAATCCACTTTTTTTTTGAATCATTGCAGCTGACAAACTCCAGCCTTTCCAATCCTGGCTCATCTGAGGCATATGTGCTTCAGAGCAGACATGCCGCAACCATCAAAGCATGCAATCAGGTCGAGAGCACATGCAAGGGGCAGCTGAACGTTGAGCTCAATTGCCTGCCCAATTTCAATTTCACGGTTAAACAGTTGCATAAGGTGAAACACATCTGCAAATCGAGGTCTCGTTCTCAGAACGGGCCTCCACAAAACTGCACTTGCGAAGTCTTGCATAGCCCTAGCACTAGCAAGATGAAAGTTGGGGCGCATGCTCCCGCAAAATGCAACGAAACAAACCTACACGCTGTCTGCGTGTTGGTTCAGCAAAACTCCTGAAACTACATGCTTGCGAAATCAGTTCTCTCCGCTTTCTTGGGGAACCTTGTGCCCAGCCAGTTTGGGATCGCGTATGGACAGCTTCTCTGCTGCTACCTCCCGATTTCCTGGGGGAGAAGATTCCAACGCGGACGTGCTTTCCATAGGCAGAACGCGCGGCTTGGCAGGCCAATGCCAGGACCTTTCAACATCTTTGCTGCCTTTGCTGCGGAATGCAGTGATTGGTAGTGGCAGTGCTCCTGGGAGAGATTTGGCCTTCGGTTCGTGTGGTTGGCTTGCATTTTTGCGCCCCCCGGCCGTGTCGCTGAAGCAACCGTGACGAAAGGCCATGCCGACGATTGCCACAGATGCGCCTATAAGACACGCTGCCGTCATCACAGCCAAGATCTGTGCGACGTTGCCGGGCTCCTTCCGACCGCTCTGGGTGGCCTTTCCTGTGGTAGCAGCGGCTTCTCCGCCCGTGGCCACAAAGCTTGCATTTTTCAGCGGTCGATGCACTGCAGTGCTACCCTCCAGTCCGCCGACTGGCACCTCAAGCACGGGATCAGAAGGGGCGAAGGTGGGTTCTGCAGGCGGCGGAACCAAGATCTCGTTGGGCCTGCGCGAGGGCACCGACACTGGGCCATTCTGAATTTCGATCCCTTGGCTATGAAGTCTCTCAATCTGTTCATCGTTGAGGCATGCACACTGGCAGTTTGCGGTCGCATAGTTGCCACCTGGGCAGTGGAAGGAGCAGGACCAGGGATATGCCTTGCCGCTTGTTACGTCCCTGTAGCCAGGTCTACACCTAGGGACGACAGTCTCAATTTGCTGGGCTGTCGCGGACTGGATGGCAAGAAGGCTCCACACTGCATAGACCATGGCCCTTCCAGTCCTCTGCCTTGCTGTCTCTACCAAGCAGTAAATCTAGAGAGCCAGACCAGGAAAGAACATGTAAACGTGACAACGGGAGTAGAATAGCAGTCAACTGTTACATTGAATCGCAGTCGTTCTTTTTGCTTGCAGACTTGCGTCTCTGAATGTGATTCCTATCCATACTTCCTTCAGGGTGTAGGATTAAGGGCAAAACGGACACCCTCAAGACGCATGCCCACCATGACTATATGCATGGCGACATACGTTGACCCTTGTCGTCATAATCAGCTAGTGGCGTGACAGTTGTCGTGGCTCTTCTTACCATCGTGACGTATTGGTAGCCAGCAAGGGATAGAGAATGAGTCCTGTAACTATAGCACATGCCCATGCAACAATCCATTGCAGTTTCCCAAAAGACCAATATAATTCCCTCTATCTTTCCATTCCTTAACTAGCTACCAACTTCGCAGCACCGGGATAATATTCGGACGAGCCTGAACAGGCTGAGGCCGGTAAATTGCCGACACAAGAGGCATCGAACAACCAGGTTCAGCATTGAGCCGGACTGCCCTGTCGGAGATTCCAGAAATGGTCCAGCATGCGTGAGATGTATGGTCAGATCTGTTGTTAGTTTAGTTGCAGCAGCGCGACAACACAGAAATTAAACGAGACCCCATCAATAGCAGTTTCGAGGTTGCACTTAAGATCCCCAGCGTGCTGACATTGGAGTTTCGTCAATGGTTCCCCACCCGAGGGATGAAACTCTCAGGGCAGGCCCTCCGACGGCTATACCTTTCAACAACACCTTTCGATTCTCCCGAGGTGTGATCCATATACAGCACCGTCAGGAGCCTGGAGACACCTCCCACCCATGTGAGGAACTCTGCTTATTGGTATGAGCTCGCGCTGTCTTTGGCAACGTATCCTTGCTTTTTGTCGAAGCTGTTCGCATGATAATGCCCTTTGACCAATGCTTTCTTGCGGACAAGGGCATGCATTGGCACTGCTGTCACGTCCACATCCACACTTCCAACTTTTGAAGCCCTCAATTGATGCCCCTTAGTTCCCTCAGCATGTACCTTCATAGTTGAACAGCCTAGACAGCTGCCAGAACTGGCAGACACTTCATGCTCTGACATCACAGCGAGCGTGCACGAGAGTATGGCTTCGGTTACAATGATGGAGTCAAACACACTGGAAGCTTGAAAACGTGTACTGGCACATGTTGCTTGATCTTTCCCCCTTGGAACTCTGCGACGACCTCGTGCCATCTACTCTCGCTTCTTTCATCTGTCTCCCTCTGACGGCTTGATCAGTATGTGCCGGTGCAATCAGCAGCTGTGGAAGCGAAGGGTGGTGCCCCCGCCCTAAGAAAGAAACGCCAAAAAGTTGAAAAGGCTTGTTAAAACTTGTAAGGACTAAACAGTCGGAAAGCCAAGTCAGCGCCTGGCAGCACAAAATGGAAAGGCGATAGGCAATCCAGACAACTCCTGACAAAGTCCTTCGACAGGGAAAAACCGGGAGAAACTCTAAAACGCGATTCTGGCAGCGATGCTCACAGCAAAAGATTGAGGTGCGGGATGCTCCAGATGCTCAGTTTTAGGCCCGCGGGACCCCTACCCAAAAAGCCAAAGTCCCAATGTGCGGCAAAGTTGGAAGCCCTAAAGCACTACCATGAAAGTTGCGCAAAGGATCGAGCATTTTCAAAGCGAAACTTCTCGGAAAACCATTAGTCGCAACCAGTCAAGCGATAAGCTGAGTAGCGGATTCTGTAAGCAATAACAGAACTGAGAATCACCGTAGCAATAACAATAGTACTATAGTACTAGTAAAAAATGACTGCAATCATCATGGTAATGATGAAGGTTTGACGTCTGAACCTGGAGGAGTTAAGGATGGTGGGTGGGAAAACCCGAAAACGTCACAATGCCCGATTTGCTATGCAAGTCCTACAGCACGCAAGTTGAGCTCGTGTGAAAAGCCCATCAGCTTGAAAAGTGAAACTAGAATAATTAGCAAGCATGACGCCCGAACTTCGAAAAGTCCACCCAATAGTTTGAAAGGCCTGAGGAGCGGCAAAAAGCCTTAACAGCCAAAGGGTTCTGAAAAGCCTGACAACTTGCAGAATCTGAATAAAGTACCGAAAAATCTCGAATTGTCCGAAATTCCAGAGCACTTGAAACAGCACATGGCGGGTCACGCCCTGACTCGGAAACTAAACGCCCTGATTCGGAAACCAAGCTGATTCAGAAACTAAAAACCATGATTCGGAAACTGAAAGCCCTGATTCGGAAACTAAAAAGCCTGCTTCGTAAACTATGACCGCCTGATTTGGCATACAAGAGATTACCCCCGACCCCCGAGCCCCCCAAGCCCCCCATGGCTTCAAGAAGTTCTGAATCGGTGATTTGTAGTTTCCGAATCGGGGAAGCAGTGATTTTTAGTTTCCGAACCGGGGATTTCAGTTTCTGAATCGGGGTCTGTTCGCACACGGCAGGTTGAAGAGGCCCACAGACCTCAACTTTTGACTGCTTGACCTTTTCAATTTCAACTTGTTTCCCAGCTGGTCCAACAAACAGCCGCTGGCAAGCTAGGATTTAGCAGGATTTAGGCGCATGGCCCTAACTCAGCACCCCAGCTATGTGGGCATCTGCATTCTGCGAAGTACTGGCCGTTGGCCGCATAAATGAGTGACCAGCTGCATTTGTATATACATATGTATACATATGTGATAGATGTGTGATGAAACACCTGTCCATTCTAGCATGGCCTGGTTAATGGAGACAACTCTGTGGGATGGTTCCTTTCAGACGTTTGAGCAGCCCACAACTCAGCCCACAGCACTTCCAGTTATTCAAGAAGCTTGTTGCTACAGGCGAGTCCCCATTGCCTCTTTTACCAAGGATACTTCCAAAACCTCCCAAGCCCCCCCCCCTCCCCTTCTCTGCCCAACAAAAAAGCATATCGACCGTAGATCTTTTCCACTGAGCCCGAGGGCTGCCAGATTGAACACATAGCGGCAAGGGGACATTTTTGACCTGGCAACGGCACTTCTGCAGATTTTGAGCTGCTGCTCACGGTCGAGCAGTCTGAACGAATTCTGCTTTCGGATACTCCTACAAGCAAAAGTGGCCGGACTGCACGTCCATGAAAGTCTTCGACTCTGGCCAGAAAAATGCACGAATCAATCAGTCCAGGTTCCCGGGTGCTGCGGACGAGCTACCTGGCATAGTTTTGGAGTCGCCCACGATCAAACAAACAGCAGAGCATGCCTGCATCAACATGCCAGGCAGTCCCAAACACTGGACCTGTGTATGACGGCGCAACTGCCTCGCCGCCTTTAGCCGGCAGGAACCTAAACCAAAGTATCTTTGGTGGAAAACGAGAAGCTCTTGCGGCTCTTGCGCATACTGAGGCCGTAACACCAGGCTCAGGGAATTGACGCAATGCCGCTCGTCCGTACAATACCCGAAGCCCTGGTCACATGCTTTAAGATACTCAGCTGTGCAACATTGGGCTTTGCTGGGCTTTGCATTCGCCTCACCGCGAAAGACGTGCCCCATGTGGCCTTCACCTGAGATCCCAGGTTTTCAGGCGTGTTGGCAATGAGGCTCTTGAGATGCTGGCACTTGGAGCAGAGGATCTCACATCTGCGAAGGCCGCAACAAATTAAACACCAGAAAATTTCAAACAAATCGAGGAAAAGTCTTGCATGCCCCTGCCTGCGGCCATCTGCATCTCTTTGCTCATAGACAGCGCCCTGCAGGAGCCCAAATCACCCTGAGCACCAAAACCTGAAAATTGCTGAGCCTGGACATTCGTCCAGAAGCCAGGCCAGCCGCATCCGCAGTCAAACTTCATGCTGCTCGTATACAATGGGACCTCCCGGAGCAACGAAAAATGCTGTTTTTCTTGGTCCTGCTACATTGTGTAGTGTACCTGCTGGCCGGCAGCGAAGCATCCCGCACAAATATAGATACCAGAGTCATTGTGATCATCAAAGCCTCGCGCGCACCATGTGAAGATTGCAATTGTAACAAGCAGAACAAAGCCCTCCGTTGCCTTGAGGAAACTTGATGCGGTGCCCAGGCTCTGTGGCCTTTTTCCGAAGAACCTGCTCAAAATTGCAGGTTCACTCTGGATGCGGTAATATGGCGTAACCATGTCCCAGCTGCCACCTGTACGGGAAAAAGAGTCACCAGAACCAGTACTACAAGAAACAGTGCCGCAACCGCATAGGAAAACTCGAGGGGTTTAATGAATTTAGCGATACCCTAAGTTTCCGGGCCTTCAAACTACATTCCTTTGAGAAGAGCTAGACAAACTAGCAACTAGCACTGGAGATGGCCTCTTTTCCAGCGTACTTACTTGGGTACTCCTAATGGAAGTCTCATTTGGCCGATGTGCTGCAGGTTCCTTCTTGGTGGTGGCTATTTCCAACTGGCATCGATTACTTGCAACATCCGCGGTCCTTCCCTGGTGGATTAGTTGTAACGGAGGCCCCCCCATGTGATGCTCGCAGCGGTGGTGCTGTTTTGCTGAAATTTATGTAGTGCTAAGTATGGAGGTTCCTCAGAGAATTTGTAATGTCCTGCCTGCAGGGTGAAGAAAAAGGAATGTACATCCCTGTGCAAGATTTATTGGAGGTCTTCTTAAGGCGTGTACTTGAGGTAGGTTGTAATATGTTGTAATTACACGTAACGACAATGGCGACCAATCACCGCGCATGAGGGCATTACATGTATATCTGCATATACAAATCATGCGCTTGTGTATGTGTACAAAATAGATATACGCGTTAGCATATATGTGCATTAGGGGTGCATTGTTCGAGACAAAATCTCGACAGGAAGCGTACTTCATATATGATGTGCCGTACTGCGAGGCTCCCAAAGCTCAACGTTGCCAAGGAACTTAAATTACACCACCATTATTAGAAGGCACCGCTTTTTGTTGAATCTGTAACCACATTGTGGTCACCCTGAAGCCTAAATGGTAACTTCTTTTACTTTAAGTTCCTTGATTGCGAGCCAATTGACGCCTAAGTTCCTCATGTCTACAAACTAAGGGTTCGAACAGGGTTGAGCCGTTTCTCTCCCCAAACTTGCATGGAAGCCCAACAGAACCTTACAAAGACTACAGTCTTGTTCAACTGGGTCTTCACGAGTCTCCGTGTAAGTTTCACCTAAACTGCATCTATTATTCCTGAACCCTAGACACTCGGCCTAAACTTTGCGCGTCTCAACATGCAGCCTATGCCAGGCTTGACAGGGGCCTACTATCCCATTGTACTTCTGATATGTCTCTGGAATCCCTGACAGCTCCCTACACCCTATACCGCTGCACCCTAGTACTGGCACATGCTCCCATGGATCGACGCCCTGGCTAGCTAACGGGCAGCGAGTGTGCCGCACCAGCACCAGCACCGACACATACCGACACCACCACCACTACTACCGCCACCACTGCCGCAACAAAAATCGTGGGCATGAAGAACATGCATTGAATCAACAGCTGCGGCTTGTCATGCCCGTCCTTGAACACATTCGTCCGAAGCTTGTCGCTCCACTCTTTCTCTGACATCCTCAACCGTGCCGCCGAGTTTATAGACGGTATACTGCTCAAGGCTGGAGCAAAACGCCTCACAGTGACCGATGCTGCCCCGAGATGTGTCGAACCTTTGGCTTTGGGCACCTTGTGTGCAGGAAAGAATACAGGCAGCAACTACCAAAGCAAACACGAGCTTTGAAGCGGGCACCTCATAGGCTGCAGGGTCTCGAGAAGGCTCCCCCATTTCGGTAACGACTCTGAGCCAAGTAGATGCTGAAAGCAAGTTGTAGGGGAAAGCTGGACATCAAAGGCCCAAGCAGTTCTTCAGCAAGCAGCGCAGCGAGTCGTTTGAAATGCGTGCGAGATCGCCAACTGCGAGTCGGAGGTCAGAAAACTGTCGCTTAAAACTCTAGTCGGCTTTGCCCACGAGTTCAAAATTCAGCACACTGACACCCTGGCTGCCCTTTTGGGCAGTTTGAACAGACTGCACCGGCTGCACCTGTGTGCATGGAAAACCGGTGGATCGTGAAAGGTGCGGGCTCGAGCGTGCCCGACGACCATGAGCGCTTTGAGCGCGGTTTGGTTGCTGCAGCTCGCTGTACCCCGGCCTCCACCGATTCACCAGCAAACGAGCCCCCTTGTTAGGAAACTCCAACACACAAACATCCTTTTGAGTTTTGATTTTCACGCCTTCGCATCGAGAATCCTGTGCTAGCTCAAGTTGCTCAGCTTTGAGTCGCTCCATGTGTGCGAGGACATTTGGCAGGTCAGATACATGCTTGGGAATCAAAGACTGTGCTCCTGGTTTTCGTGGCAATCCTGGCTGATACCCCAGTTGCTGAACTACTTTTTCAGAAGCAGTCTCCTGCCAAGCCATCTTCTGCGACTTGACTTTTGGTGCAACCTGCTTGCTATGCGAGCTGCTTGCCCCAGGATGTTCTTCAAGTCGCCTCCTGGTTGATGGTGCTTGCATTTCATCCTTCTTCTGTCGATCGTACGGCGCGATGATTGGCACTGTCATTACAGACGCCTCCTGGCTGGCCTCTCCGCAAACCTCCCTGCCTTGCGGATGTTGAGGCCGCCTCACCGGGCTGGGGGTGCGCGACTTTCGTAGGGCCTGCAACGCTTTGCTCCTTTGGAGTTGCGGCGCAGAGGCTGGTCGCCCAAGAGGTTTTCGCGCGACTTTGGCAGCATTCTTGCTCGGACTCTTTGGGAAATCTCGTGCATAGTCGGCAGAGGTCTGATTTGAATCACAATTCCCGTGAAGCTGTTTTGCTTGCATTGCATTGGGAATATCAGTAAGCGCCCAATAAAACTGCGGTTTGGCAGGCATAAACTGCACCGCAGGAGCTGGCCGCCTCATACTGGAAGCAAATAGATCCTGCTTGACTTGCGCATGTCCTAGCGAATCCTAGCGGTCGATGCCACGGATTGCATCTTGAGCCAGCACTAGTGCCCAGGCATCACGGGAAGAATATTCCAACTGACCGCCCTTCTAAGTTCACAGAGGAGTTGCGTCAATGATTCCCACAGCGTTCAAAACGAGAGCCTCATAGAGACAACCCATGAACAACATGAACCAGCATTAACATGATAAATGACGATTTTTTGTCCTCACCTCAATGATTGGGATTGATGGCAGCTCACCTGGCCTCCCATCTGAGTCGCTTGATTCCTCTCAACCTCTCTCTCTCGGATCTCTGCCGGGGCTCCTAGAATCTACCCTGGCTTCCTGCATCCGCATTTCTCTGGAGGTTAGATACACCTTCGGTGCGAGTCAACAACTTCGGTAGTCTTTGAGACTTTGTGCCGGAGCTGTGCATGCATCACCTCACCGCCATGCTGCATCATTTGAGATTCTCGTGCAGCTGCTTGTACAGCTTGTTCAGCTAGTGATAATGTGCTTACTCAACATGGCCCTGTTATCTTCGTACACGTCTTCGCCACTGCAGACCGAAAGCTGGGATGGACTCTTGCAAGTCAAAACCCGAACAGTACAAATAGATGCATGGCCTAAATGACCTGAAACCGTGCAAGGGGCCGCATGGAGCCGCAAGCACCCCAAGCATGGGAAACGCAGCGCTTTTCTGTCTTGTTCGGAAAACTCGAGCTAGGAATCCGAGGCACTGCTTGCATCGACTTCGCTGCCCTCCGCTGATTCCAATTGGGCTGCTAAGACTTCGCCAATTTGCAGCTTCCTCCTCCAAGAAGAATGTTTCAGGGCATTCTCGCAAGGATGTGACAGGAACTTCGTAGGAACTGCATGGTCAGCAATGCTTCGTAGCTGAGCACCAGACTTCGCTCGCACAAATGCCACAGGACTCGGGTCTTCAAAGCTCACCTGGCCACTTGCAAGCGCCCACTCCGCATCTGCATCAACTGTTCTGAGCAACAAAGCAGTAACAGCAAACCACAAGCACAACAGTGGATAAGCAGAACAATGCGCAACAATTATGAAGAATAAGCATTTATCGGGATAATAGATTCATCGCAGAAGCTTGCACCTCGACGTTGGCTCGGCCTGTTAGCCCACGGCGGGCGCCTTGACGGAGCAAGTGGGCAACCTGCGGGTGTGTTGCATATGTTGCATGCATGTCTGAACCTATGTGAAGACTCTAGGACGGCTGTGCGAAGTCAGGCGTTTTATTGCATGGTCCACATAATTAACATAAGTATCAGAAACACATATAGTAGACATGGTCCTAGATATGCACAACAAGCCTTCGGGAAGAAAGCGATGCCTTCGAAAGCAGTCGGTGCCTTGCGGTGTCTTCTGTTTTCTATCCTAGCGATACTTGCTGCTGAATTCATTGAGTGTATTGCTGAGAGACCCGCAAAGATGCGAGGACCTTCTTGCGCTATCAGTTCAGCCTGTCATAGCAAAGGCAACGATGCTAGTAGTAGCATGGCAGCCTTGACCAGCTGCGCAAGTTGTATGATCAGTTGCGCAGTGCCAAGCGAACACCGGGTAACATCTTCACTTCACTCGTCTCGCCTTCAGGCTTTCCTCGGCTTCAGTTCCCGAGGGCCCTTCCTCACAATGTCCGGTCCGGCGGTGACACCGGTGATTGCAGCCTCAGGCCATTGCTCCCCGGGCTCCCGTGCATATTAAGGCAATCCCCACTTTGAGACATCACCAAATCCTCTTAAACTGAGTTCCTAACTCCGCTCCTCACCTCATTCATGGCTGTAGCAGGCACGTCAAGAATCAAGCCCACCCTTTTCTTTCATGGCCTTCCCAGAGCTCCATCACCAACGTCTGGCGCAGGCCCTCTGTCACGGGCTCTACGCAGTGGGCTTTGTGCCTCCAGGGACACTGCCAGAATGTAGGCAGTAAGAGGGAAGGATTGCTAAGCTGCTAAGTGTCAAGCGAGAGAAATACCAGCGCATCTCCTTTCTGAAATGCATGTCTCTGCAGCTTCCCATCGCCTCACTCTGCCAACTACAAAAAGCGCTTCGTGCCGCAACTGGCATCAATGCCAAGCACGCGACTTTCCAACGTGCAAAAATCTCCACCTGGCAGAACCGTCTCACACAGAAGCTGGCAGCTGTCTCCAGGCAAGGGGCCTTGGAAGTCGACGCCAGGAGTGGAAAGCATCACGTCCTTGAAAAGAATGCCCGTAATTCGCCAACTCAACAGTAAGCATCTAGCATCAGGCAGGGATTGGGGTACCCACAATTGTGAAAAGGGACCCGCCGTCGAAGTGCGTAGGGTCCTCGGGAAGTGCAAGATGCCGGTGCGATGTTTCAATGGCAGGTTAACAAGTCCACAAGTGCGCCGCTGGAAGGGCACCACCTGGTGAGACGAGGTGATGCTCAACCTGCCAAAGTGGTCTTTGCTTCAGGTCGGCGGGAAAGAGGCCCTTCAGTGAGGCAAAGGCGCAGCGTGGACGAAGCCTCGGTTCCAGAGCTGCCATCGGCAGGCGAAGCGGCGAAGCAACACCGCAAGGAACGCTTCCTTTTTTCGCTTCTTGGCTGCCAGCAAACCAACATGATCTTCGCGTGGGCGGAACTTTGCCGGACCTCGAGAGACCTTCGCGGTGCAGACACTGGCCGAACATGCGTAGCAGCAGGGCAGCCTCTTCGGCGCTTGGACGACTTCAATACATGTCTGCAAACGCACGGACTGAGAATTCCTTCGACCAGACAAGGGCATCAGCAGCCTTCTGAGATCCTGGCAGCGGCACCTTTAAGCTTGTCCAGGATGCCGGCCTCAGTTGACCAGCAGGTCTACTTCTGCCAAATCTTGCTGGAGAGGCAGGCTCTTGTTCAGTACCACCTGGCTGCGACTACAAATGGAGCATGTTGCCTCCTTCTCTTTGTCACAAGTATGACATTATGGCAACCAAGCTCGACTTGCTCCCGAGTTCCTGGCAAGATTCTTTCTGGCCATACCTTGCCCCGCATGTGGCTTTGTCAGCATGCATGCCTGCGCGTCCTAAACGTATGTCTCTTGCCAGGCTCCAAACTAATTGCCGTTTAGTCTCAAGAACCTATGGGCCAAACTGACTGGTTTTGTGCATAATTGGAAGAGATGCAAAATCGCGGCACTTTGAGATGCATGACTTGGATGTCTCAACTTAGCAGCCTGCCATCCTGTTGCAAGTAGCAGGTACGCCACCTGGGTAGGTGGCTTCTTCGGCTGGCTTGGGTGTTTACGCAACACCAAGGTTCTGCCAACAAGAAGCATGGCATGAAGCTGCGCCTGGTCTAAGGATCCCTGGTCTCCAGCTCTAGCTACTGCACAGCCTGCAACCTTACCCTTGCCCAGTGGCAACATGCTGGCTGATTGCACCGCGCGATGAAAAAGGCATCTAAGTCTATTGGTCTCACACCAGAACCGTCATACTACTTCGCTGGCCAACAAAACTGTCCATTTTGTTGTGCACCTGCTTCGACTGGGCCACCACGCTGTCCCAAAGTGGCCGCCTTCGTCTTCGCGCTGCGGAGCTCACCGCTAACGTGCTTCACAAGAGCCTCGAAGGCTCTTAGACTCTTAGACATTTATGGTGGCAAATGTTTCTTCGTTTACGCCATTGAATGTCAGCCATGTCTACTGAAGTGGCAAGACTGAGGTCGCTGCTAGTTCTTCTTCTCCGAGGAGTTTGGGTAAGAAAACCTGAGCGCCAGGTCTTGGGCTTCCGCGCCTGCACTGCAGATCCTTTCTCAAGGAGTGTTGCAGTGGGCACTCGCACTGAGCCTGGCGCCACGGAACTTTGCCTCAGTCGCGGCCAGAATCACATGCTACAAGGCACCGACTCCTCTCAAGTGTCGGATGCTACACTCTATTCATGATGCCCTGGTTTCCGTGCGTTGCATTTCGACCTTATGAAGGTGACGCGTGGATTGGGCCTTCAAGCTGAATCCACTTCGCCGAGGCACCGGGCTGTCTCTGGATCAGGGAGAGGCACCACTAAGCTCGCCCTTAGTGAAGGATGATTTGATTCAGTCTGGTTGATGCTACCATAGGCTTGGGCCCCTTTGGGCGATCATCCTCTCCTTCTTCGGCCTTGTGCCAATATCAACTCTCCAAAGCAATGAATGGTCGTCCCAGTCACTTCTGCAGGATCTCTCAAAAGCGATCATCTTTTTGGCGCATGCCCAAGAAAAGCTTTGACAGCAGACCTAACTCACCACGCACTGGCAATCCCGCCGCAACGTCTTCTTTGTTGGACCTCGCAGAAAACACTGTCGCCCTGAGTCACGGTTCCCGGCTCAAGCTGAGTGCGCTGCCAGCTTTTTCGGCCTGTCATGTTCTGCATGGCGACTGCTTGTTGCAACTTGTGCAAAACAGAAGCATCATCACCAAGTGCCTCTTTCTTTGCAAGCACCACCTCTCGGCAATGACAGATGTCTGGCAGGTTCAAATCGCAACGCATGACCATTCTCCCTAGTTGCACTCCCAAGCTCCCCATTCAGATTGCTACCCACGTGCATGGAAAACCTCAACTTCCCTTCTGGGCTTCGGGCCAGCTTTTCAGGGATGGCCCAAGCTTCCCAGTGTCGGTCTTCCACGAGCATCAAATCCTCCTCCATCCGCGGCAATGCAGGTGCCAAAGCTGTTGGTACGTCTAACTGCGTGAAAGCTCTCCTTCTCCTCCAACCAGTTGATGGTCACAAGCCTTCAAACCCACTTCTCATGTGGTACGAGCAGCTATTGCAGCAAATACTGGCTTTCGTCCAACCTGTGAACATACGGCCGCAACTCTTCCTCAGTACAAGCAGAGGCTCAGCAATGTTCTGACAATCATGCTGGCTTGCAAGCAAGAATCATCTGATTGATTCAACGTCTTGCCGAACCTGAGGTTATTCACATGACACGTCCAATCAATCAAATCGGCGTGCAGTCAATGCAACATCTTATCACTATGACCCAGCAAATCGTCGAGATTGGTCGATTGCAGCAAAGCCACTCGCTAAATAGCTCGGACACTTCGCACTTTCTTGGCTGCGCGGCCTGGGCCATACACGGCCGGACCGACAGAGCAGAAAATCTGTGCACTGAGATGCCAGCAGCCCGCTGCGCCAGGAAAGCTGGTATGGTATTTGGACCTACTTTGTGGCTGAGAAATCTGCTGATGGCGCAGCTTGACTGAAATTAGCACCAAAACCGTGCGCTTCGAGCTAGTTTCCAGTTTGAGCCCCCAACTCGTGGCTGCAATCTTGGCCAAGAATGGATCTGCGGGTGGGGGGCGGGCCTGTGGGCCTGTCAAATCATCTTTGCATGGTGATTAAGAACACCTACTCAGTGATCTGAAGATCCTCAAGTCCAAAGAGCGTCCGTGAATTCTTGAAGCTCACGCTTGCGAATTTCAACTTGGACTCGGGCCACGGATCCCCTGTGCCTTCTCGCGCAGTTTGCGCTCCCGCCACCTTCAGTTGCACCGCGTCTTCCGTGATTGTTGTGGTTGTAAAATCTGGCCCGGCTGCCTGGCAACACCTTTCTTGAGCGATTCTTTGGCTCTCTTTTCGCGCATCTCCTGCAACAGCCGTCCGATGCAGGCACAGCCAGAAGTATTGAGTGTCCTGTCCTTTGATTTGCCTGAGTCCGGCTTGAAGAAGTCGCCATCCTGCGCTGGAAGCATGACATGCAGCTTCCACTTGGCGACACTTACATCCGGAGCAACAGGGACACACGAAACACCTCTAACATGTGGCAGGTGGGCATGTTGTATCAACATGTTACGCATCGGGTCCTCGACCCAAGAGAGGACCTGATCATCCTCACAAGCAAGAGAAAGTTCCAGAGCCCTTTCTCCTTCTTTGCGCCCAAATCATGGTCTCTTTGTGTAACTTGGAGGGCTTTTTATTTGGCACTGGGAAAGGTAAGGACCCTGATTTCGGCAAGCGCCCTTTGCTTGGGGTTCGGCCGTCACCAAGGGCCGCCTGACATCTGACTTGCAGTCCCTATAACTTGTGCGGCTCATGGACATATGTGCCTGACAATAGCGCATCTCACTTCCAGCTACGAGGAACCACCAAGAAGCTGCACATTCCGGGCCTGGCACGCTGCCTTTGCCTGAACCGCGTTGTCAGGAACTCTTCGTACGTAAGGCTTTGAGATGACGCCATGCTCTCAACGCCACGTTGCCGGTTCCGAAACCAGCGTTGCAGACGGCGTGCTGCCCAGGTCTTGGGATGACGGCGCCTGGACAGGGCTGTAATCTAGAACCTCCCTTAGAGTAAGGGTCCCCTTCAGAAGTAAAGAGACACGATCCTGATTGTGTTCTATGAGGACAATCAAAGGCAGATGAAATCAGGCCGGGCACTTCTCCGCATCATCGCGAAGCTTGGTAAACCTGCTTTTGCCAGTTTATCTAGTCTGAGGCCCTGCGAACTCATGACACAAATCCTGCTGTAAACGAAGCTTGTGTCAAGCCAGGTAACGAGATCGAAGGTGTGAAGCCTTGTACGGCTGGACGGAGAGTGTAGTTTACGTACGCGTTCACATCTCGGATCCCAGGGAAGTTGCGAGCAGGACCAGCGGCATGCCAAACTAAATTTACTCTTGGGAAGGGGCTGTGCGCACCTTCATCTGCGTCCTTCGACGGGCAGTAGGTGAAGGCAACATCCCAGTTCATGGAGCAAGTGGTTCTGTGCCGAGCGGCATTTTCTTCCAAGAAGTCGTAGACTTCATCTATCCTGAAGGGTTGCCACGATTTGTTGCATGAAGATCTTGCCAAGCTCGTGCGCAAAATTTCTTATCCCAAGTAAGGAGCAATCTCACTGTAGCAAGCCTGACCTTGTGGTGCCAAAGTCAGTCTGCATGACCTCAATGAGGCCCTATAGTTCAGGCAAGCTTCAGCTTCAACGGAACGCCCCAGCCCTCCAGTCTGCTCTTTGGGACATAGCGCAGATCATCCACCTCCAGTCTCGCCGCAGACGAACATCAACATGATAATCCCCTCCCCCTAATAATGAATATTAAGCACCCCCCACCCCCCCTAATATTCATGCTCCCCATTGTGGTATATCATAATACATTGGGAGTATTCAATATTAAGGGGGTGAGGGGGGAGGTTTAATATTAGGGGGAGGGGATTAGTGCAAGAGCCGCCGGCCTTCTCCAGCCAGTGTTCGCCGACCAACTTCTTGATCAATGTGCCAGCCTCAGAAGTAACCGCGCACAGAACAACAAAACTTTTTGGGCCCTGATACTGATAATTAAGGGATGGCCATGGAAAGTGATCATTTTGAACAAAGTAACTCTCTGAACTACATCTCCCCTTCCCCTGGCTGCGAACACATCAAATGCAGGGGAGTCACGAACTCCTCCTTCCTCGGCTGTGTTTGTATGCAATGGGTGCCTTTTCCTGTGCTCTCGCTGTTCTCACTTCCAATGACGATCGTTACACCTCCCATTCATGTGCGCAAACGCCTTGGGCAGCATACGTGTACAGAACCGACCCCAAAATAAGTTAAACCGAGCAGTTGGACAGATGGACCAGGATTCCAAGCAATGGATTCTGCAAAGCTCCAGGTTCACATGATAGGTCAAACTGTTTTGCTGATCTAGCCAAGGGACTGGAGCTCAGAGCACAAATTCTTCAAGAGGTCCTGCCATGCTCTTGCTGACAGTGTGGGCTGTACTGGTGCTTACATGCAGAGGATTCAGGATGTCTTTTCTCACTGCGCAGGGCAGGTATCCTGTGTACTAACAAGTTCAAGACTACCAAACGAACAGATTATTCATGAAGACGGATTTTCAAATGGCAGAAAGACCTCACTTAGGACTCTTGCTTGCTCTGCAAGGTAGCATGGCTCAGCGCCGTTCAGTAATTCAGGTTGTCCGCGTCATCATTGCCGAAAGCCACGTTCCTTGGGAAGAATACGGGGCAAAACATGCCTGCCCAGTGCACTGTAAACTGTACAACTTGGACTTTACTGCCGCAATGTCCTGTGCAGCCAAAGCTTCGTCCTTGCTTGCAATGTCAGTATTCTGGCTCTTCATGCCAAGCAGGAGGAGGGGCACAACGAAGGCCACAATCACGAAGATGAAGGTCATCCCCATGATAGCATTAGCTGGGCTTGGTGGCTCCTCTGTGGGCCTGGGTCTCTTTGCCAATGGCTTTGACTCAAAACCTGAAGCCCAACAACCTTGCGGCCAAGCTGCTCGTATGGCTTGGTCATGTCAATCTCTGCTAGCAGAAGGTGCGGTAATTGAACCATTGGCTCCGGCGTCACAGCCGGGGGGCCAAGAAAGGCAAGGCCTCTCGAAAACGCTTGTCACCCTGCAAAACACGAAGCAACTAGTATTGGTATTGTCAACAGTCACAGCCACATTCAACGTCTGAGAAAAACATTGAAAGAACAAACGAAAGCACGTTGAGATTGTCAGATAGCTGGCAGTTGAGAAAGCAGCCACAAGCTGTTGGCATTTTATTGCAAGCTCGCGTGATTACTTTGCCAACTGCTCTTTAGACTGATGACAGACCTCTTTCGTCATTCGCGGGCTATTATCGAGGATATCCAGCATCCGTAAGAGCTGTAGTGAGGAAACCCTGGCGGAGTTTGGGTCTCCATGGCAGTCTGCCTTTGGCACCTGTGTCTATATGCTTCCAGTCGAGCGACCCTTCAAAGCAGCAATCAGCAGCAACAGCCCAGCAGCCCTGCGATGATTAGCCTTAGCTGCTGAAGCCATACTTTTTGGGATAAGCCTTCTTCGCTTGATGCATTCTTGCGCATGGCTTGGGTGACACCTCCTAGTGCAAACGTGGGACGGTCATCCCTGGAATCTATGCTGCCAGAGCCCGTCTTGCCAATGTCTTTCCAATCCAGCTCGAGCATCAAACAGCAAGTCAGACGGAAATTCGGACATGCCGTGCACAAAAGGCATAGATCTCAAGGTCAGGTCGTTAAGCCTAGGCATGACAAAATTCCTGCGACATAACAACATACATGCTTAGATACCCTCATCCACTGCCAGACTATCAACAGCAACATGCACTGTTCACTGAGCTCCAGGAGCCACGTCCTTGGTCAGCTTCTGCTTCATGGTCAAGTGGATAAGTCCAGCGCCATTTGACCAGGAATGCGGCGTGCATCACATGTGTAAGTTGTATTATATTTGCGTTGCTGCATTGGACCCTGAAGAACAAGCAAACTCATAGCCTATCAGGTTACCTCAATAAAGAAGTGGGGCAACTTGGGCTGAAGGCTACAATTCTTGAGGTCTTGCCGTGCCTGGGCTGCCTGTGTGGCCACGAACAAAGATTAGACAGAAACAATAGGCTTCAGCCACATGCGAACGGAAAATAATGCAGCGTTTGCAATAAGGGTAAGGGCAGTACAGCAATGCCAGCACCACAGGTGTGAGCAACAACGGCTAGTATGATCTTTACGTTTCCATTTCCTACCAGTACTGTATCTGTTAATATGACTAAGCTCACATTCTTAGAGCACGTGCTGAGCTGCGGGCAGATTCGCCAAGCTCCTCCTCCCGCTGCTGAAGAGCCTTCACGACCTGAACGCTATGCTTGCATGAGCTCTCAGGCAGGTACGTGCTGCAAAACCTAACGCCTTACAGGAATTGCAGCAGAAAACCACATCGCGTGGTAACTCTTATGGAACAAATGCCGAGATGAGCTTTAAATGAGCAGTAGCAACCAAAGCAACATGAACTCCCCATGATGCCAAGCATGGGCAAAGGCAAAGGCTCTGATAAGAGCTCATGTTCGAACAGGGATAATGGAACAGAAAATGGACACTACTATATCATATAGGGGTTCTATTGGGTATATGTTGGGCTACTTGAATAACAAGCTATGACATTTGCAGACATCTACAGTGAGATATAGCAAAACATGAATGCTGCTAATGACAGTGCTGACAAAGTACCATGTCTTATCGCGCCCTACTGATCATGAGGAGACGAAACTCATCAAGCACCTTTTGTCCACCCTGAAACGAACATGGCGTCAGGGACCACTGAGCAGCTCCTCCAACGCCACCTCTTCCACCTTCCCACTTCATCAGAATCGAATGGAGGCACTCCAAACAAATAATGTCTCTTCTAAGGTGGTGCTTTTGAGTGTAGCATGCTATCTTCGGAATGTTGCCACATTTACACCTGGTTGCTCTCAGATTGTTCTTGGCCTGCATTTGAAGCAAGTTCGCCACACTGCATGCAAAACATGCTTTCCACAACCCTCGTCCAAACCAATGGGGTGTGAAGTGTTTCCCCCAAGGTAGTTGCTACTTGCAGGCCCGCCAGTATCGCAACGCCGGAAAATTCTAGCTTGTTTACGCGGGTCATTCTCACATGGAAATGTGCAGGGGCTGGAGTTCTCAAATTCATCAAGATCCTACAGTACGAGAACATGGTGTCGGGAGGACTTGCCTATCTAGAATCTAAGACTGCAAGGTGGCCGCATTCTAAGGAGGTTGGCAAGACTTGTCCGCCTATAGCAAATAATTGGCTGAAGGCTGACATACCTTTCGGATATGCCGAAAACCCTGTGGCACGTGGAGTCGGGACGACTTCCACCCAGTTAGGGGCGACTTAAACCGAGCACCTGTACAAAGCACTGGAACTTGTGGGCAAGCTCCCTGAATACGCAATCACAAGAATCATCTCTGATCTTTTAGAATCCTCAGGTCATCCTAACAGACCGTCAATGGTATTCCTACATTAGTCCACATAGTCGTTCCCCGAGATCACACCCCTCATGTGAGATGGTTGCGAATGGTGACCCCTCACGTTTTGCAATTCCTGGAAGTCTGCCGGTGGCCTGCGCAAGGAAGCGCTCGACTTGGAGCCTCAGGCCACTGAATATAAACGAGCAAAGTCAGAATAGCTCCCGAGCAAAGCTTCGGCTGAGAGCCCCCGTCGTGAAAATTAAGCTACTTCTACTTCCGTCATGAGTCAATCAGACCAGTACTCTTTGTACTACCAGGATTCCTTTGGATAACTCTCGTGCATCCGAGCAGCTCCTGCAGGTGAGACTCCTCAGTTTGTTGAAGCGGTCTGAGATCCAAACTTGCAAAGGACCACCCAGACCCCAAACATGTACTGAGCCACACAATAGGAGCACCAGTCAGCATTCCTTGCATCCCTCCAGAGACACTTCGCAAGCCTAATCCCTTAACACCCTAAACCAGGTTCACCTTTAGCTGAGTGCGACCCAGGCTCCGCCTCGATACATCGCTCCTGCCAGCTCACCTTTCGCAAAGAACACTCAAACTCTATTGAAAATCAAGTCCGACCTCCCAACCCCGAAGTACTACACCACAAAGCTTAAACAAACAGTAACCCCTGAACAACCCTAAACTTCCTAATCTTCCCCTCCCACCCTCCCAAAAGTCCATCCATGGCGCCAGGACTCGCTGCAGCTGCGCTTCGCTGGCGCGAGCCTCCTCCAGCTCTCTTCGCAAAGCCACCTGCAGGGAGGGGACTTCATAGGGATTACAAGTATACGGGGATTTAGGGACTCTATACGGAAATCCGAAAGGATATACATAGGAATATATAAGTTAGGGGAATGGAGCTTAAGGATCAGAAGGGTTTGCTTGCATTCGGCTGCTATAGTAGTCTGCACCAAAGAAAACATGTGGGGCAGTAAAAAAAAATTCGCAAGCTTAGTATCTTAACACTTTATCGGTAAACTTCCTCTGACTAGGGGCTTGCTCCTGGCAGTGCTAGAAAAGCCTTTTTCGGTAATTTTCCGCCGGTTATCGGAGAAGGCTTCTTATGACAGGGACAAAAACTTAGAGGGTAGGGCGCATTGCAGGCCCTTCTTTACGCGCACATGATGCGTTTTTAGCTGTTCTTCCCATGGTTGGTTTTGCTTCAAACGGGAAGCGTAGTCTTTGTTTATCCATAACTTCCAAAACATGAAGCATTCATAGCTCAGGGATTTCAGCTGTCTGCTACAGTAACATAGTTACATACTCTGATAGAGTATATTGCCATTGATGCAGAGCATCTTTCTATTGATGTATAGACATGCCCATGCAAGCCCGTCACTACGGTCAGTGCAAATCCGTTCATACATGCACACACACACACACTTACACGCGCACACACACACAGACACTTACACGCATACATATATTTGTACATCTATATATATGTATATATGTATATGCACACACACATATACGTACATGTACTTTTCTGAAGAATATTCGTTCTCAGTCTCTCTGAAGAGGTGCCATAGTGCCAGTCATGCATAATCCATCTTTTCCTGTATGCGTTGCCTATCCTACGGAGATGTTTTACGGGGGTTCTCTTTCCTAACATACTATTTATGATTCACATCTCCATTTGTGTTGCCATTTTGATGACCCCTTTGCATAGCCAAAATGCAATAGCTGATGCCATACCACATTTTTTCTATAGGGCCCATCCATGCACTGCCCAATTTTTTTGAGAAGGTCAGGCTGCATGAATATTGTTGTAAAACTACGATCATGCAACTCTCCAAACAATTGGGTTCTGATAATGATATCCACCATGCTGGAAGAGGCCTCTCCTAGAATATGCGCGAATCATATGAGTTCAATTCTGAACAGGGCAAAGGCCTTCCATAGGGTACTGATGCACCAAATGAATTCAGGACCCAGAACCCCAGTCATAGGCACTTTTGATATCGTGAATAGCGCGAATATGGATAGCATTGCATCTAGAAGTTACACCGGTCATACAGGGTCGGCCTCACTCGACTTCGTAGCAATAATATAAGTTCCATTAGATCACATTAGTTGTATTAGGAGAATTTTTGCCAGCTTGACTCATATTATACATGCCACCACTGGTGTGTGCGTAGATACATGCATATGCATACACATGCAAACATAGACATATACTTGCATCTGCATATATTATAGACATATGTATGTGGCCAGCCCACCAAAATCTGCCTTGAAACGGCTTGGGTCTAGTTGACCTACTTCTACTCACATGCTAGTGTTAGTTAGACCATATGAAGACACCCTAAATTACAGTGTTTTCTAGATGAGTCATAGTCATGTATCGGTGCGTCTAGGGGCGATAGCTCCAAGATTTTATTATTAGCCGTTGCATTAAGTATGTTGTGAGCGGAGTCATCTCACCAGGTTTAGTATATTTGGAAAGGATTCTTTCAATATACCGACAGGGACTAATACAATGCATGTAGTGCCCAGACCCGGTAGTCTAGCTAGATATATAAGTAGGTGCATGCTTATTCTTCCCCACGAACATTGTTTATGTCATTGCTGTGGAATACTGCCGTGCTACTGTTTGTTGTGTTCCATAGTATGTCTGGTTCAAATGCTCAAATGCTAGTGCCATAGTTGTTAACTTCTATTTCCAAGAAAGAGACATCTTGTTTCCGAAATATTTTCGAGTTAAATATACAATGCCAACGTACTAATATGTGCTGCATAGATTTGCACGTGTGCAACATGCAGTGTTGGCATATTCAACAAAATGCAACTATATCATACCTGCATAATGCACGGTTTAGCAATCGAACGGAAAACACTCAGGAAAGATACTGTTTGACGTGATTCTAAATGTAAGTAAGCACTGCAAGCCTGTAAGGTGGGAGGGATGGTGGAGCGTAGATTCGAAGGAAAGGAGGATAGAGAGACTCTTCTGGGCCAGGCCCTACGATCTGGTGGACTGGTGGCCCGGTCTGGCAGGGGGGGTAGGGAGGGGCGTTTTGTTTTGTTTTTGAACATCGCCGCCGCCCCAACTCACCCCGCCTCAGGCTGCCAAACCTCAGCCTCAAGTTTTTCCTTCTCGCCTCCGGAACCTAACTCTTCCCTTTTTGTGCCCATTTGTATAACTATATTCTAGACTCAGACTCACGCTTCAAGGCTTGCTCAATTTGAAATTAAAATCCTGCAACGGAATTTGAAGTCTGCTAAGGATGATGCAGTACGCACATATACACCTACGAATACTAAAAGAAAATAGCACAATCCCGCACCGTCATGGTCATGTAAAAACGGGCTCCCGTTCTGAAACCTTAAAGGGGTCCAACAATACCAAACGAAGAGGCCCAGAGTCATTTTACCATCGCATGTGTGAGCAGAATGCAAGGAAAGAATGTCGCAACAAGCGACAAGTGATGCTGCATCATGTTTCTTGTCCGTTGCATGGCTTGCCGCCAACTCTTCAGGGCCACGGCTTTTAGATCACTCAGCACTTTACCAATAATCTCCATGTATTTCCTTCCTGTCGGTCATCCTTCAGAGGCTTCTTTCCTTGTGTGCTTTGCGTGGGGCCATTCATCTTTCTGGAAGACTGGCCTTCTGATTGATTCCCGATGTCACGTTCCCTCGGCAGTTTAGTCTCGTCCGGGCTTCGGGTTTGTTATGATACGGCCAATTGTGGCTAAATATGCATGAACATGAAAAGCATTCCAAAGCCTACTCAGCACGCATTGTTCGTCCTTCTAGACGCTCTGCTAACAAACTTTCACAGAAAACGCCTTTCACATCTACCTTTCCACGCATTCCAGTTCAATTGTCTGGACCCTCCTATCTTTTCCTTGCTAGTGGCTGGCTTGTTCCTTTACTGTTGCTTACTGCCTTTCTTTCTGCCTCCTTACTCCTTTCATATCATCTCTTCTCGTGTTCTATAGCTAGGCACGCAGACTGGGATGATTTGCACAGTCTGTCGAAGAAGCGCTCACTCACTCCCTAACACGAAGACCCATGCCCTCAGGCCTCTCCAGCATCCCATACCTCCTTGCATACAACGGCAGCAATCAGCATGCGAAAGGCCAGCTGCCACGCAAAGCTGCCAGCTCACAAAAACCAACAAAAAGACTGTACTTGATGCCATGAGATAGAAAACAGACTTGCGCAACTGGAGCATTATCATTCACACCCTTCCCTACCTCCAGCGCATGACGTGTGATGCATGACTCTTCACCGGGAAGATTCGAAGGGGAATGGAACCTGGCTGGAAGTGTTCACAACATTTCATCTGAGGCTCTTTGGGCTTTAGGAGCTCCATCTGAACTTTCTCCAGGTGTGCATCTCGGCGGACGACAACGCTCTGAAGAATTTCCAACAGGTGGTTGTGCCTGGGGCACTTTAAGTGAACCAAGAAAATAAAGGCATAAAGACTGCGGCGGCTTCATGTGCTCACCACATTATTCAACTCAACTCTGGATCTTGCTCTGGTTATCATGTGCATGCAGTCGAAGTCGAATCTAGGTATGACGGGGTATGGCAGTCCTATTGCAGGCTTGCGAGATGTGAGCATCAGGGTTTACCAGATGAGGGAAGGGGCCGCCCACATCCGGTATGCAATGCAGGGAGAGGCAGACCCCGGGAAAGACCCTCAGGCCCAAGATGAGACAGCTGAGAAGCGAATTGCAACAAAATAAACAGTAGCTCAAAGCAAATGGGTTCTGGGCGCAGCTCCTGACGAATGAGTGGGGATTGTCTGGACTGCGCAAGAAGGCTGATGACTCGTGCCAAACGGGCACCTTTTTGCATGATACTAAAAGCAAGCATAGCATGGCATAGCAAGGCAGCCCTGTTCTCTGCATCACTGCTGCCAAAACACCCAACAGTTGCCACGTCGCGTTTGTGGCGTTTTGGCATGTTAACTTCACCAACCTTTTCAGGAAGCTTTGGACCATAGCCGCAAAGTGGGCCAGAGACGAGAGAGTTCTGTTGGAGGTGAGGGTTTTTTTTGTTATCATCCCGAAAGAAAGAGCGAAGCAACCCGAGAACAACATCCCAGAATCTTGACTGAGGCTGGCTTACCTGAGCCCCGTAATTGCTTCTGCAAAAAGTCGGCTTCTCGGGTTCGACAAGCTGGCGCAAGCTGTTCCAACCCTTCTTTACAGAAAAACCTTGCCTTCCCCCGTGACGAGGGATGACAGAGAAGCCAAAACCTACAATACAACGCATCTAGCCCTTCATTCCGTGCATGGCCCCTCAACCCGAGTTCTGGTATAGAGTTACAGGCGCCTCGCATCCACTCCACGCTGAAGTCGTTTAGCCAAGGATGGCGGCATCTGCGGGAGTGTTGCGTAAGCACTGGCTTGGCTACTTGTTGCTGCCACCTGAGCTGGGATCCCCTTCACGGGAAGAAGAAGGCTACTACAATGACAATCCCAATACAAGCCCACAAAACAATGCAGAAGCTTTGAGTGATTGCGTCTTTTAGACAAGGGCTGGCCTCGAACGCCTTCATCCCACCCGCTGGCTTGCTGCAAGAAATCCTGTCACAAACCGCTTCCAGCTTGTCCAGGCCTGCCTCAGACAACAGCTAGTGTTCTTCCTCCTCCTACCTCTACCTCCACCTCTACCGCTGCCGCCGTCGCCGCCGTCGCCGCCGCTGCTGCTGGTGCCACTGCTGCTGCTGCTGCCGCTGGCAGTGCCACTGCCGCTGCTGTAAGTTAGTACCACTGCTACGAAGCTACTCCCACCATTAATCCCAGGAATGTTATTTCTAGATTCTAGATTTACTCCTCACACTCCGTGATACCCCCTTCTGTCTGCCTCTTGCTTCTCTTGATTCTGGTGCCGCTGCCACGTCCATGTTAATTGCAGTGTTAGAATTCTCATACGGATCACGTTGGCCACAATTGTGCTTCTTTTTGTCATGGCTACAGCCACTATTACCACTACTGTGCCCGTGGTTGACACTTTCGTGTTCTCCCTGTGTTGAAGAGACCTTGGGTCGTACCAACGTCGCCCTGTTGACATTAAGGCCAAGAACTGTTGCCTTTCTGGGAATCATCTTCTACAACTTTCGCTGCTGGACATGGCTAGGATTCTCATGGCACAACTGAATCCATCAACCCCTTATGAAATCCTTATTTGGCCAGGCATGCCTCGGTGACCTCGGACCTCTGCCGCTCGTGCTCCTCTTGAAGCGAGGAGATGGTCAAGTTGAAGCCAAGCTGACTCAGCTTCTGCTCCAATGACAAAGCCTTTTGCATTGCAGACCTCAGAATGCCGTGACATGATAAGTACTGAACAACACAATGGGGATTCTGCTGTCACTCTTTCAACTTCCTATTGTGAATCTTGTAAGCTCGTACCATACAACTTCTCACTCCGAGTCACCTGAGATTTCCTTCTGCGGCTATCCTCCTCTTGTCGCAGTCGCGAAGATCTTGTTGCGCATGCTTAACAGCTTCGTTCACCTGCCAGGTGCAGGGCAGCTCCACGACTAGCTGCTAAAGCCACATTGAGAGCCCACAGGCCCAAGGCTGCCATGTCGTCTACAGCGCTGAATCACTCCCGAGCATGCCGGCCTTCATGACTTGCTCCTTAAGCGTCTCCAGCAGCTGCGCAGCTGCAGAAAGGAACCGGTCCTCTGAGTCCGTGCTGACCTCCACCTCTGCTTCTGTGTGCCCTGCAGCAGATCGCGCAGAAGATGCTGCAGAGAATGGCCCTGGAAGAAGATCCAGATCTTCCCAAGCTTTAACGCATTGCCTCTTTGGCATTGGCAGCTCAAAGGCATCCGATATGCCCGATGATTCGTGCTTCGCAGGCTGCACTGGTTGCGCCAAGGGCTTCGTCGGACAGCCTGATTTGTCGAGGAACTCTTGGAACTGGCGCCATTCACACAGCTGAACCTGTACCGTTGCAACGCTGAGCTGACCTCGTGGAGTCTTCACCTGGGCCACGATCAGCGGGAAAGTCACAAAGCGCTGCCTTGCCCGGACTTCGAGTTGATCCAGCATGGACCAGAAGCCACTGGCAGCGTCAGATGTCGACATGTTGGCGGCCGCCGTGACTTGGGTAAGGCTCTGTTGGCAGTACTTCGGTTCGTTCTTGTGATCCGGCGCCAGGCGCTTCAAGGCCTTTAAGGCCCCCAACCCCACGTTGCAGGTCTCGGAGAGGATCTTCAATTCTGGATAAGCAATATCGATTGTGACCATCAGCGTCTTGGTCCAGGTCTCTCCGAGGCCGTGTGCAGACTGGATGGTTCCTGAGATCTGCCGAAACTTCTCTGAGCTGGAAAGAGTGTGGTCCTGAAGCATGGGCCAGACTTTAGTAGCAACGTCCAGCAGTGTCTGCGTACGTCGAGCAACATTCCTGACAAGGTTCTCATCATCATCTTTACAGAGACGCTGCGGAATGGACCTGAAGGCGCCTGTTTGCACAGCCTCACGTGTGGAGCGACGGAAGTCCAGCATGGCAGCAATCACTTTTCCATTGTCAGCGAAATGACTTTTGGGATCCTTCCAGAAGTCCTCTTGTAGCATCTCAGGCAGCTGGGCCTCTTGGAAGAGATTGCTTTTGCAGTGCGCTCGAAATACAAACATTGCCACGAACCGTTGCCAAGAGCTCCATGGGAGAGCAGCATTCTGGAGGATCTGCGTTACGACGAAGAAGTCGTGGGGCCCGAGGACGGTGTGGAAAGGCACCCACTTTTCCTCCCGGGCATGCGTGCGGAAAGACGACTAAGCGGGTCTTCCATCCAGAAACTTTGGTGAAGTTACATATCCCAAATTCAAGCAAAGGGTGGTCTTCGCTTCAAAGCAAATGGGAGCTATAGAGGTAGAAGTTACAGAAACAGAGAGAGAGAGAGAGAGTAGGATGCCAGCATCACGCCAGTTCCTTTTTGCCGAGGTTTGGCCGCACCCAGGCTCGGAAGAGTGGCCAAAAGCTGCGAGCTTTGGGATCTTCTAGCGGAAGCTCGTAGTCAAGAAGAATTGCTGCCTCTGCAGGTTTGGGTTCAGGGCTCAGTGTCACGCTAGTTTGCAACCGAATATATCCGACCATCGACCCCCAATTCGGATTTCCTACGGCTGCGTCGCTGAGCAAAGCAAGCCTCCAAGTGCAGCTGGCACTGCAGGAATTGGAAGAAATCTTCCACAGCAGCTGCCAAGATCTCGTCGACTATCTCGGACATCTGAATGCTTGATCCCCATCGCAATCTGGCTGTGACCGAGGAGTGCCGGGAAACTTACAAGTGGCCAGCTGGTGTTGGCTTTGCTCCCTGACTGCTTGCGTACATGCTGTCAACTTAATACTTGGCTGGAGCACGAGAAGCTGCCACGAATCCTGTGACCTACGCTCCATTATGAATATATCCTAGAGCACAAGAAGTGCAAGCCCCATCAACCTGAGTCGTTGCCATAATGTTGTCCCAAAGCAATCGCAACTTACTTTGATGAAACTTGATGTAGAAACTCTGTTGCATGTATCCAGGCTTTGGCCTCAAGAGCAAATTGGGCCCAGACTGGGCCTAACGCCGCAGCAGCCACGTCCCTTGTTGGGGCATCCGGCCTCAAGCAACTCAGTCTGCCTAGAAACCCGAAACTTTAAGTAGAGATTAGGGTGTCGTGTTCACATTTCTTCACGCATGCTGGGACACGCATGCTGGGATGCATGGGCCAGGAGAACTCAAGGTAAACTTCAAGATCTAGACATGCAACTTGCCCGTTCACTGGGCCATATTTTAAAGCTCAGTTGCGAACCGGCAAGCGGTTTCACAAAACTGCCCGAGTGGTGATGGCAGAGTTGCGCCACCTTTGCGACGGCCCATACACAAGGAACCAAAGTATCCTGTCGTCCAGCCGCATGGCGTTGGCAAAGTTACACTGAGGCACTGAACAGCAAAGGGCAGATGGTGCAGAACAAGCCAACACTGAGTCCAGCTCTGAATGCCCAGGACCTGTGCTGCAAAGAGCGAAGAATCAAAACGACGACAACAGCGCAGTAACAGTGGCGATGCTAGCTTCATGTACTTTCAGCGGAAACTTTTGTCCATCAAGAGCGATAGGGCAGGTGTTCTGCTCAAATAATACAAAAGGATGAGAAAGGATGAGAATCATACTGCTGTCCTTAAAGAAGCCTCTGGTGTGGTATGAAAGGTAGGGCCAGGTAGGATCCGTTGGATCTTATGGTTCAACAGTAACTATACTAAGTCTGAGGTTGTGCCTTGGCCGCTTGGAAGGACGGCGTAAAGTGGTTCGACATGCAGCATGTGCTTAGCCAGCCGAAAGGCGTCAAATGCGGGTCGGCCTGATTTGGTCTTGTGGAAAATGCTAGAATGATTAGGCCTCAATTGTACGAGACAAAGCTGCGCCCTTGGTTTTCCTGGTGGTCAAAGCATTGGCCAGGGTATGCTCCTGCGTTTTGCCTCTCTGGACACAACTGAGAGTCCCATACAGAGATCGAAAAACATCGGATTCGGCTTGCAGATTCGGCCTGGCATCCAATGCGCTGACGACACGCTGGAACCGGCCCAACCTGACCACAGAAAGCCCCCACTAGGCTTTGTGTTTGAGTCATGCCCAGCTTTCCAATCTATGGGGATCTCCAGCAGCCCACAAGCACAAGCTCAGGCTTCAGCGGTAGAAGCGCCTCCACCTGGGCCTTGCTCAAAGCCTGTGCAGCTGTTTATCCAGACAGCCGTTTTAAAACACCCTCTCAGAAGTCATCATATAGCAACAGCAAATGGTGTCAAAAGGCGCAACAAGTCTTGTCAGCAGAATTAAGGGCTGAATGCGACAGTATTTGAAGTGTGGAATTTTCCGGGCATCGTTCCCAAAAAATGAGGTCGCGTAGCTTGCAAGCAATTCGAAAAACCAGGAAAAAAGGGGTGCGGGACAAGAGAATTGAAGAAAAGCGCTTGCGTCTCGCAAAGCTCCAAGTTCAGCTCCGGGCCGGCCCCAACTCGTTCAAACGACCAAGAAATAAGTTTCAAGGGGTCGCGCCGCAGCTCCCCAATCGCGATGAAGAGCGTATTGATAGGGTTGTAGTTGTTCAAGGGCCATTGGCGGCTGCGGGTTCACCCTTTTTGCTGCTTGCATGGCTTGGATGGCATAGCACGGTTCATTCCGGTACAATCTGTGGGCACAACCCTTTAGGTCCAAAGCTTATCGTTTTCTGCTTGGACCTCAGCAACTTCATCCAATTTCAAAACCGCATTGGAAGGTCTCTTCATCCAGAGCCACGGGTCAGTTTAGTCTTACCCCCCAGATCCCAAACAACGTGACCTGGCAGAATGATGTTGGGCGGTGGTTGCGCTGCAAGGTTGTCATGAACGGGACTTGTCATCGGCTGACATGGTCATCATGGCAGTGGTGCGCACTGCTTGCACCTTGGGAGCTCGAAGCTTCGAAGATAAAGCTCTTACCTCGGAATGGGGACTGACGACCTAAAGAGGGGCTTGCTGGATCGGGTCCGCAATGAAAACATGCCTTTAGCAAGAATACCTCGGGTGCAAGCCAGCCGTCGGTGAGCTTGTGTCAAGCCGCGTTTTAGCAACCTGAGAACTGCAGGCCGCCAAGGATTCGAGACAGTGCCCCGCTGTGCTCAGGCCTTCGGGGAGCTGCGCTTAGAACTGGCTGGAGCCTGCATCTGCTTTGAGTAATTGCTGTGCATATTCGAAGAAGAACAAGAACATGCATCTAAGCCGTGGACGCCGATGTGAACGCTTTCTTGCTGCAGAGCTCGTAGCCGCGCATGGGCACGTTACCTGTCACTGTACTACGAGAAGTGCCAGCTGTGCAGACCTCGCTATGTGACTTCCCAAGCAAGTTGCCTCTGCAGGGTTGCAAGACCACACTTGCAATAAGCTGGGAGGCGGCAAGCAACAGCGGCTCCTTCTCCCTGTGAACCACGCAAGGGCATCATGAAAGGTCTTTAATGAACTTCCGCTGCCTTGGTGTCGGCAAAGCTATGTGCCTTTGAAGGCACTGTGGTGAGCAAAAGCAAAGTTCTGCCTGTGAAGCGGAAGGCGTGCTGTCTCCATTGAATGGGATTCATTCCCGCGTGCCTCTGCGCTCCCTTCCGGTACTTTGGGAAGGGCGTAGAGCCTGAAGGGCATCTTCCTTGCCCGAAGAAGCTGTTTCTATTCTGTCCAAGCGGCCCAGCAGCTGAGCTGCCTAGCAAAGCAGTTGTTTTCCCGCTTTACACACCCAACCTGCCACGGAAAAATTAAGCCTGGCAAGGGCTTCATCTTGGTGGCAAAGTCTAACCACCGGGCCAACTCGGCAGGGTCACCTCCTGTGCATCTTCCTACAGCACGGCTGCTGCGTTCCCAAGTCCAAGGCCTGTGTTGCGTACGATTCCCATCAGCTCTGCTCGGCCTCACTCACGTCCCCCTCCCAACCCTGAGGCTCAACTCAAGGAACTGGAAGGACAAAGAACATCAAACAACATGCAAGCGGGTACAAACCCTTAGGCTGCAGGAGCCCGACTCGTTGCACCGGCGGCGAGCGCCAAGGAAGCCTGGAGCTTTCCGCAGCTGCGCCCACAACATGCACCTGACTGTCGAAACTCGGCACTTACATACACTGACTGTGCAGCTGCCGTGTCAGCTGCAGGTCGTGGGCTCGGGCAGAACAAAGGTTGCTCGGACAGATGCTCCTGTTGCGACCGCGGAACCTGCAAGCTGGCTCGAGGCTGGGGCTTGAAGCTAGACTCTTGGCATCACCCGTCCACAGTGATTGACATTTTTTTGCTATTTGAGGAGCAATGCAAGCCTCGCAGCCAGCTCCGCACGTGTTGGAGAGCCGTTTTGTGGCAAGCCCTTCGAGAAAACGACAGCACACGCACGCAGCGAAAGCTACCTGGTGGCCACGGAGCGTGTCTTGACACTGACTACAATCACCAACCACCACAACAACACGTTACCTTGACACCCCAACTATTACTACCTTTACTTGCCCTGGAGTTAAGGAGCTTCTGCCCAAAATCCGCTGCGAGCACGAGGAATTGATCCTGGACGTATTTGTGCGTGACGGGATCACCCTTCGCAACAGCTGCTAGCGCAGGTTGAGGCTTGATCCTTGCTTGATCTTGCTTGGCTTCGAAGCATCTGGGCACTGTTGACTCAGACTCGCTCTTCTCAAAGCAAGGATCCTGGGAAACTCCTCGGTGAAACTATGGAAAGAAACGTGCCCGAGCTGCCTCTTGTAGATGAGTCCGTTTTCACTTGGGCAAGTTCTCGACGTACCATCGCTCTTACCACTTCGAGACCAACTAATTATGCAACTTGGGGCCTTTTCGACGCTCACCGGCTTCCCTGTGGCATCCCACTGGAAGCCTATTCCAAAAAGCGTGGAAAACCATCAGGTCCAGCGCTCCCTGCTATGGGAGACTGGTCTACAGCCATTGCCAGGGAAAATCAAGCATCAGTTTTGCTGCTGAACCTAAGTCTTTCTTAGGCTAGGAATCTGATAGCTATTGCCCTATTTGGGTTAAGGATGCGCCCATGGCTTATGATTCTGCTTACTGGCGCTGCCGTAGACTGAATTCTGGGTGAAGACCGAGGCCAGGCTCTCACTTTTTACCAAGCTCATCCTGGTCGCCTCGGGTCATCGCAGTTGCAGGTCCAATAACAATGTTACACTGCTACACACACATACACATGCCTTGATCTTGCATGAACTGCATGACGCACATAATTACGCAGGCAAACATTTTTTTTGCGGGTGCTTTACAAGATAAGGGTAGCCTGCACACACCGCACGACCAGGACCCCTAGACATAGAAATCACAATTTTGTGGTATGTCCAGCTCTCAACCACTGCGAGCCCGGCTCAGGTTGACGTCCAACTCCTCCGGGTCGCAGTAGGTCTCACCCTGACCGCGGCGAGGCAGATCTAGAGGAGGAGCCCGAATAACTCGCGACGTACGAGCTACGAGTACCAACTATGCAGTAGATTGGCTTTGTGATTCAATCACGTAAATGAAAGCTTTCGTTTCCTGCCAAAGCCTGCAAACCCACCACCCCCTGCTTTCTGCAAAGCCTTGGGCTCCCATGGCGGTTGCAGCTCTCGACCCAGCAGCCTGAGTTGCTGCGTTCAACCAGGCTTTAGATCTTTCAAAACTAGCTTGTATACTTTGTATACATCAGATCTGTCTTCGCTCTGTATCACAGCACGTTCCGTACGTTGCATGGCTAGGCTGTCGCCTACATGGCTGTTTAGCATTCTATTTGACAAGTTGTACCAAGTTGTTGCACACGCGGATGCCTGTTCTTCAAAGCATTTGAGACAGTCCGAGCCGCTTGTCGAAAACGCAGCCGCCCTGGTGGCCTTGAAGGAAGAAGTCTGCGCCTCGAACGTCCTCAGGGAGGAAGCTGCTGTCAACTTATCATAAGAGCCATGCCTTTTATGCCTATCTGATTTCACTGCAGAAATTACCCCTTCCACAAGGCCTTCCGCGTATCTTCCGCGAGTACAGCTTGTAACTTGTAAACTAGTCTTTTGTTGCTTACGCTTTCCGCGGCTGCTTCTGCGAAGGCTATTGGTTGGATTTCGGGATATTGCTTATGCAAAAGGGCTTCGAACAATACGTTTCTTAAAACTTGAGCTTCCGCAAGCCCTTCTGCGAAGAAATGCTTCCGCGCAGCTTCCGCGTCCTTCCGCGCGCACAGTACAACCTCGCTTTCGGACCAGGGTCTGAGGAGTTATTGTCATACATACGCGACTATAAATCTATACTCTACAGAAAAAAGCAGCTGCTCAATAATTAAGGCGAGCCCAAGCCAGGACAGTAGAACAAATAGTCACGGGAATGCCATCAATAATGATAAGAAGCAATGGCAATCTGCCATTCCACTTCAGCATTGATTGTCATCAAGCTGTCACCCGAACAGGAGAGCCATGGAGGAACTTTCGTTTTTCCCCACCCTCGTTGTGGGGTTGTTAGATTTTAAAGTAGATGTTGTACTCGCCCGACTGGAAGCACACTTTAGTGCCCAACCACCAAGTGTGCCTGCA